AAAAAAAAAAAAAAAGATTTTAAGGGACAGAGACCAAATCTGTAACTGAAAATGTGTGTATTTTTTTTTCCAAAAAGAGAACCCTTTAAGGGAAAGGTTTTATAGGCACTATTCACAGCAAATATGAAAGATAAAAGCTGTGGTTTTACTAAGAAATTGTACCAGAAGTTATTTCCTGAGGCATACAGGAGTGGATTTAATTCTGGGTGAATAGTACCATAGCATTCAAAATAATTCTTTTGGGAATGAGTGACAATGGGGAGGGGTGGCAAGAAGAGTCAGGAACTAGCAGGAGGAAATGGGGTAAAGGTCTAGAAAAAGAAATCCTAACAGAATGGGGAAAGATCTAGAAAAAGAAATGCTAGCAGAATGCTACGCTCTGCAGACATCATCACCTGCTCCTCCCACCTGCCTTCATCCTGCAGAGGAGGAAAATCACAGCAGCCACCTCTAACTCCTGGGAATTTAGTCTGCCAGGTGCTAGGTGAAGGGTTTTATAAAGATTAGTTCATTTAATCCTTGCCTCAGCCTTCTGAGCTAGGTGCCATGAATAGCCCAGTTTCACAAATAAGGAAAGTGAGGCTTCAAGAGGGTGAGTGATTTCCCCAAATCACTCAACTGGCAGCCACTCAAGTTTGGATTCACACCCGAGTGAAGGAGGAGAGTCAGGAGCCCTGGCTACTGACCAGTGCTTCCTACTCCAGGCCCCACAGGCTCTGCGGAAGATGACAAGGACAGCACTCGTCTGTCACTCGTCTGACATGTGCTAAGAGTCACTTCAGTTCCAGGCAGGGCTGGGTGGGATTTCAGATCCAAGTAGGTCATTTTAACAGCATTGTGGAAAATAGATGCCTGGGTGTCCCAAATTTAAAAAAAAACCCACATCTTTTCCCAACCAAGTAACATTTTTTCATGGTTAACCAATTTAAGCTTTTTTTTTTAAGTGTGGAAAACATACATAAAATTTTCCACTGTGACCATTTTTGAGTGTTACAAGCCAGTGGCATTAAGTACATCCACATTATTGGGGGGGCGTTGTTTGTTTGTTTTGAGACAGAGTCTCACCATGCTGCCCTCTGTAGAGTGCTTTGGCTTCATAGCTCACAGCAACCTCCAACTCTTGGGCTTATGCAATTCTCTTGCCTCAGCCTCCCAAGTAGCTGGGACTACAGGCGCTTGCCACAACTCCCAGCTATTTTTTGTTGCAGTTGTCATTGTTGTTTTAGCTGACCCGAGCCAGGTTCGAACTCACCTGCCTCGGTGTATATGGCTGGCGCCATAACTACTGTGCTACAGGCGCTAAACCCATCCACATTATTGTTGAACCATAACCACCATCTGTCGCTAGAAGGTCATTGCCTACATTGAAACTCTACCCATTAGACACTAACTCCCCATTCTCCTGTCACCCCAGCCCCTGGTGGCCCCCATGCTATCTTCTGTGTCTACAAATTTGAGCAATTATAGAATATGTGGCCTCTTGTGCCTGGCTTATTTCGTTTGGTACATTGTTTTTAAGATTCTTCCTTTTCAAGGCCAACTAATATTCCACTGTATGTAGATAATACCTTTTGTTTATCCATTCATCTGTTGGTGGACACTTGAGCTACTGTGAATAATGGTGGGGTGAACTTTGATATATTCAAGCTGTGTAAGGGAACCTGCCTTTTCCTCCCTTCTTCCCACTCACCTCCCCACCCGCACCCTGCCCCAGGTCCTTCTCAGTGTTGTTACTGTAGCTATGTCAGCCTCACTGGTGTTTCTTTATCTCTCTCCACAGTGTCCAGTCCAGGCAGAAGAAGAGTCAAAAGCTCCCAACACCTCCTGACCAAGAATGTAAGGACACTTTAGTGTTGATCTGCTTTGACTGACTTTCATTAGGAAACCAAGCCCCAGCCTCTCTCCCCTCTCTCCCCCAGCCTCAGTGACCAGCAGGGTTTTCCACGTCCCCAGTGCTTGTTGCTATACACTCTGTCTCTACTTAACCAAATAAGTGACAAACATTAACTAGACACCAAGCAACCCTAAACTGGACCCTGCTAATCCTCCATTTTCCCCAGGCACAGAGAGTAAACCTTGTTTCTATACACATTTTTTTCTTATTTAAACAGAGTCCACAATGTGGTTACAGCACTCCTGACCTAGGTGTTTTCTTATTGCTGACTTTTATAAAGTTTTGTTTGTTCACTATTATAAACAGCAGAGCAATTAACTTATTTTTACAAAATACTACTCTTTTGGGTTAATTTCTCAATGCATAGGCCTCAAAGTGAAATTCACAGGTAAAAGATAAGAATAGTTTTGTCCATCCATCCATTCATTCAACTATCAACTACTTGCATTTCTACTGTGCATGACAGACACTGTGCTAGATGTAGAGATTAGTGATTTTTTTTTTTAAAAAACTGCTTATAGTGGGCAGCGCCCGTGGCTCAGTGGGTAAGAGGCCTGCCACATACACCAAGGGTGGTGGGTTCGAACCCGGCCCCAGCCAGCTAAAACAGCAGTGGCAACTGCAACAAAAATAGCCAGGTGTTGTGGCAGGTGCCTGTAGTCCCAGCTACTCAGGCTGAGGCAAGAGAATCGCTTAAGCCCAAGAGTTGGAGGTTGCTGTGAGCCATGATGGCACTCTACCAAGGACGACATAGTGAGACTTTGTCTCAAAAAAAAAAAAAAGACTGCTTATAGTTTTGTCACATATTGCCAGGAATTCTGAACATTTTGGGAGCTTCTAGCAATTCTTTTCCATGTACCTTCCAACATCACTGTCCTTGGCTACCATTTTTTTGTATTATGTTTTGCTGGTTTAATATGCCAATGCATTATTTTAAAGTTAGTTTACATGTCTTTAGAGCCTAAAACACTGTGCATCTGTCACCTTATACACAGATTTCTTTATATAAAAACTGTCAATTGGGCAACAACTTGAGACTGTCTCAAAAAAAAAAATCTGTCGATATATCTTTTCACTTTATTTATTTATTTATTTATTTTTTTGAGGCAGAGTCTTATTATATCACCCTCAGTAGAGTGCTTTGGTGTCACAGCTCACGTCAACCTCAAACTTTTGGGCTTAAGCTATTCTCTTGCCTCAGCCTCCCGAGTAGCTGGGACTACAGTTGCCCACCACATCACCTGGCTATTTTTTGGTTGCATTTGTTATTGTTCAGCTGGCCTGGGCCGGACTCAAACCTGCCAGCCTCAGTGTATATGGCCAGTGCCCTACCCACTGAGCTATAGGTGCCATCTTTGCACTTTATTTTAAAAGGAAAACTGTTTCTTCTTGGTTTTACCAGAGTTTCTGTTTCTATCACAATTTCTCATATAATATAATTTTGAATTTTTTTAAATTTCAGATTAAAATGAGGGCGCATACAATTAGGTTACAGAGTTTGCCTTTTTAAGGTTACAGTCCGAGTTATAGTTGTGCCCTTCGCCCAGGAAATGTGCCATATACCCATGCAATGTACACCTTGGGTGGGAATTTACCAAACCCTTCCCCCTGAATTTTTGCAGTTTTTTTTTTTGGCTGAGGCTGGGTTTGAACCCGCTACCTCCAACATATGAGGCCGGCACCCTACTCCTTTGAGCCACAGGCACCACCCTTCCCCTGAATTTTTAAGTATTTCAACTTTGAAAAGTCTATTCTCCATTTTAAAAATATTTTTTAAGACCCCCTTATCGAAGGGGTATACATTCTAAGACCTCAGTGGAAGCCTAAAAGGGAAGGTGGTACTGAACCCTATCTAGGCTTTTTCAACCTCACTCACAAGACGGCTGCTCATAGGCAGGTGGTAGACACAGCCTGGATACACTGGACAAAGGGAGGATTCACATCCTGGCTGGGTCAGAGCAGGACAGCTAGAGGTTTCATCACACGACTCAAAACAACATGTGATTTAAATGTATAAATTATTTCTGGAATTCTCCAGAATTCTCCATTGGAATTCTCCATTTAATTGTTTCAGACCCCAATCTGAAGTTAGCTGTATGCTCTATATTCAGTGAAGGGATTGCAATGGAATTCTCCATTTAATTGTTTCAGACCCCAATCTGAAGTTAGCTGTATGCTCTATATTCAGTGAAGGGATTGCACTCACAGATCCACATACAGCCTTTGAGGACTTTGATCCCACTCCTCATGGTTAGGTGTGTAGACTTCAGAGTCAAATGGCCTAGCTTTAAATCCCAGTTCTATCAATCTCCACCTATGCGACCTTGAGCAAGTTGCCGAACCATTCTAGGACTCAACCTCCCTAGCTAATAAGAGCACATACATCAGGAACAAATGGGGAGGGAGAAAATGACATAATACATAAAAAATGTTTCCTCTAGAGCCTGACACATAGGAGCATTCGATGAGCATTGGTTTTTTTAAGTGAAAATTTCCCATGTGTTAACCTATATTGTACTTTATTGTCTGATAATCTACTGCTGTGCAATTTGCTTTTTTTATTTAATACATTTTGAACATCTTTCCATGCCAATTCATATGTATAGCTCTATCTCATTCTTTTTATTTTTTTCTTGACAGAGTCTCACTATGTTGCCCTGGGTAGAGTGCCGTGGCATCATGGCTCATAGCAACCTCCAACTCTTGGGCTTAAGTGATTCTCTTCCCTCAGCCTCCCAAGTAGCTGGAACTACAGGCACCCACCACAACCCCCAGCTATTTTTAGAAATGGGGATCTCACTCTTGCTCAGGCTGGTCTCAAACCTGTGAGCTCAGACAATCCACCTGCCTTGGCCTCCTAGAGTGCTAAAATTCCAGGCATGAGCCACCGTGCCCAGCCTTTCTAGCCCATTCTTTATGGTGGCTGCATAGTACACTATTGTATGCATGTTCTTTTTTTTTTTTTT